CCATCTTAACCTCCGCCTCACCCCTCCCGCCATTTCTCCTTTGAGTGCATATCTGGGGTCACACAGTGCTGGGTCAAGTTATACTTAGAACCATAGAAACATATAACCATTGTAAACATATCCTGCTTAACAAGCCCCCTTGCTATTGTGAACACCCCTTGATTAATTATATGGAAAGTACCGAATGCCCCCTTGGTAACCAGCAATGATGGGAACCACTTGTGTATACCCTCCTTAGTTAATCAACAATCATAGGAGCCTCCTCCCCTAACCTGCATATTCTGCTTCTATAAAATTCTGCTTCAGCTAGGCTCCCCCTCCCCTACCTAAATCAAGGTATAAAGGGAAATCAAGCCCCTTCCTTGGGATGGAGAGATTTTGAGTGTGAGCTGACTCTCGGTCGCCGGCAATAAAGGACTCATGATTCAAACTCAGAGTGTGGCCTCTTCCATCTAACTGACTCGGTTATAACAATAGGAAGCACCATGAGGTCCCGCCCTAATCTGCTCTGTTAAGGTCTTCCAAGCTCTAATTGGCTCCAGAGCAGCTGAGTATTTGTCCAAAAACTTACCGTATCCATGAGTAAATACCTGTACAGTCTTATCACTGCTATTCAATCTCTTTTTTAAAATCAAACCAGCACCATTTCCAGAACTATAGCTCCAAGCCTGTATTTTCATAGACATACCTCAAAATCCACATGTCCAAAATTTAAATAACCTCTCCCCTCTTAATAATAAAAACCTCTCTAATTCTCTCATTTCAATAGATGGCACTACCATGAGCCACCAAATTCTCCAAAACCAAAGCCTAGAAATTAGTGTCAACTCTTCACTTTGCCTTACTCCCAACCCCATCCCAATCAACCTTTAAACCCTATAAATTCCACCTCCATTACCTCCTGTTTGTGTGTGTGTGTGTGTGTGTGTGTGAGACAGAGCAAGACTCTTATGTGACTCCAAGACGTTTATGTGAACTTCTTTCCTTTACCAGTAAAATATTGTCCCTACTCTTCCCTTCTGCAGACCAGTGGCTTGCATAGCTATACATCTTGGATTATAATTCTTTTTACTTACTCCAAAAGAAACTCAATATCTTTGGAGAAACCTTTCTCTGTTGTCTTTTAGCTTCACAGTGCCAAACAATAAATACTTTGGAGCAAGACTCTATCACACACACACCCTAGAGGTAGTGCAGTGGCATGGTCTTGGCTCACTGCAACCTCCGCCTCCCAGGTTCAAGTGATTCTCCTGCCTCAGACTCCCAAGTAGGTGGAATTACAGACACACACCACCACGCCCAGCTAATTTTGTATTTTTAGTAGAGACAGGATTTCACCATGTTGGCCAGGCTGGTCTCGAACTCCTGACTTCAGGTGATCCACTTGCCTCAGCCTCCCAAAGTTCCTGGGATTACAGGCATGAGCCACCATGCCCAGCCTCCATCATCTCTTGAATCTGTCCATTCCACTGCTATCACTTTAGTTTAAGCTATCAACAAGTCTCCTGTCTGGGCCAGGTGCACTGGCTTATGCCTGTAATCTCAGGAACTTTGAGGGGTCGAGGGAGGCGGACAACCTGAGGTCAGGAGTTTGAGACCAGCCCGGCCAACAGAGTGAAACCCTGACTCTACTAACAATACAAAAATTAGCCTGGCGTGGTGACGCACGCCTGTAGTCCCAGCTACTCAGGAGGCTGAGGAAGAAGAATTGCTTGAAGTCCCTGCCACTCAGGAGGCTGAGGCAGGAGAATCACTTGAGCTCAGGAGGCGGAGGTTGCAGTGAGCAGAGATCACTCCACTGCACTCCAGTCTGGAAGATGGAGCGAGACTCTGTCTCCAAAAAAAAACAAAAAAAGTGGCCGGGCGCGGTGGCTCAAGCCTGTAATCCCAGCACTTTGGGAGGCCGAGGCGGGTGGATCACAAGGTCAAGAGATCGAGACCATCCTGGTCAACATGGTGAAACCCCGTCTCTACTAAAAATACAAAAAAATCAGCTGGGCATGGTGGCGCATGCCTGTAGTCCCAGCTACTCAGGAGGCTGAGGCAGGAGAATTGCCTGAACCCAGGAGGCGGAGGTTGCAGTGAGCCGAGATCGCGCCATTGCACTCCAGCCTGGGTAACATGAGTGAAACTCCGTCTCAAAAAAAAAAAAAAAAAAAAAAAAAAAAGTATTCTATCTGGTCACCCAGCCTCCACCTGTGAACTGTCTGTTTACCATATAACAGCTATTGTTATCTTTCTAAAACACATCTTTCCTATGCATGCCCTGTCTTTGCTTAAAACCCATGAATGACTCTGCCCAAAGTTCTATAGAAAAAGCCTAAACTGTTTAACATTTAGGCCATAAGGCTGCATCTTAGCTTTCTAGATCAGGGGAGGGCCCATGGGCAAATGGCTCAAGGGTCAAATCCAGTCCACTGCCTATATTTGTACAACAACTTAAGGATGGCTTTTACATTTTTCAGTGGCTGAAAAAGATCAAAAGATGAGTATTTCATGACAGTTGAAAATTACATAAAATTCAAACTTCAGGGTTTAGCATAAGGTTTTATTGGAACACAGCCCCACCGATTCATACTGTCTATGGCTGATTTTAAGGTACAAGCTGAATAGCTGTGACCAAGCAGCATGGCCCACAAAACCTAAAATTTAAGTTATTGTTTGGCACTGTGAAGCCAAAAGACAACAGAGAAGGGTTTCTCCAAAGATATTTAGTTTCTTTTGGAGTAAGTAAAAAGAATTATAATCCAAGATGTATAGCTATGCAAGCCACTGGTCTGCAGAAGGGAAGAGTAGGGGCAAGATTTTACTGGTAAAGGAGAGAAGTTCACATAAACGTCATGGAAACAAAGTCCATTGGTTCCGGAGGCTCAAATAAAGAACTGCAGTTCGTTCATTGGTGGAGGTGCTGCTGCTGGGCCAAACGTCCTTTTGACAGTAGCTTATCTGAAGTGCTGCAGTTTAGCAACAAACGGTGCCATAGAAATGTGTGCATATTTGCAAAATGAGCTAGTTGTGCAAAACATGAAATGCATGAAAGACGTGAAGAAATTGTGTGTTTTTCGGTTTATGTTTTTAAGTCCTTGAGACAAATTTATTTATTTATTTATTTGAGATGAAGTCTTGCTCTGTCATTGTCGCCCAGGCTGGAGTGCAGTGGCGCCATCTCGGCTCACTGTAACCTCTGCCTCCTGGGTTCAAGCGATTCTCCTGCCTCAGCCTCCTCAGTTTATAGGAGCCTGCCACCATTATTTTTTTAAATTTTTATCTTTAGTAGAGATAGGGTTTCACCATGTTGGCCAGGCAGGTCTGGAACTCTCCTCACCTCGTGATTCGCCCGCCTCGACCTCCCAAAGTGCTGGGATTACAGGCGGCCGGCCTTGTACAGTTCTTATCTCAGACATAGGTACATAATAAGTTTCCCTCCTGCAAGGAGGGTTACCTCGCCCTGAGGCCGAACACACCCACCTCTGCACTCAGCACCTGACTCTGCACCCGGCACCTGGCTGCGGCACCTAGCTCTGTGCATGGCTCCCTTGGAAGGCTCAGGCTAATACAACTCTGGCCGGCCCGTATACTAGAAAAACCTGCCCAACAACAAGCCAACCAATAGTGGCCCGCCCCGTCCCAATCCCACTCCCCTGGAGCCAATCAGAGCACCCAGCTGCTGCTCATTACCCACAGCCACAAAAACCCCACTCCCGAGGAAGTAAGCGCGACTTCTCGGGCTCCCTTTCCCCGACCATAGAACCTCGCCAGGGAGCTGAATAAATTGGCATTTAATTTTCTTATACTGGCCTCAGTTTCCTCATTTTAAACTCGGCAATAACCCTTACACCTCCTTTATGGTCTCTGGGCTCCAAATTGTCTAGGTCTGGCAATAGTTTCTCCTAGAATCTGCAACTTTCGGAGTATTTCATGGAAAAAGTCGGTAACCCCTACCCTACACTCACTGGATCACTCTCCAGTGTAACCATCCCAAACGATCTGCAGACCACCCTTTTCTCTCTGATCTGTACTCCCCCAACCATGGGTGCTTCTATAGAACTAACCCCATCTAAGCATTTAACAGTTATTCTAATTACCCTTTTACTTGTCTGATGCAAGTGTTCGCCACTCAATCCTCAGCACCCAGCACGATCCCTGGCCCTCATTCAGCGCTTAATAAATGCATGTTGATTGAATGCGCAGCATCCAGCACAGGCGAACAGGAGTGGGTTCCAACTTTCGAGGAGCTTAAAAAAGAAACCCAGCATATAAAAAACAGATTAATCTACAAAGAATAAAACAAAAACACTAAAAAGCAGCAAGTACTCTGCAGCAGAACCAAAGAGAAAATTCCACCTGTGGAAAGGTGCCCTTTCTTTAGGATCCTTCCTAATTTGGATACAGGTTCCCTCCTCCTTCATGACGAAATTCTTAGCGAGGTTACTTTTTGGTACACAGTGTCCTCATCTGTACAACAGACTAAGTAATTCTGAATTAACCGGATTATAATGAATATGGTTAATTTTTTTTTAATATGGTTAATTGTTGAACTAAGGCATAGAAAGCAGGTAGCTCAGTGGACGCTTCCTAGAAAGTGCTCAGTAAACTCGGATCCTCTAAAACGCTCCGTTTGATGTTAACTGAGTCCGTATCCGAGCGGGCTTCCAGGGTGCATAGCCAACGGTATGGCCTAGCGTCCACTGCATCCTTTTAGTAAGAGCTGCGACCTCTCGGCGCTCCCTTCGCCACAGGAGCGTTCTCGGCTCGTGGCGTCGCGGCAGGGCTTCGTGCTGGGATGAACTCCCGAGAAACTTCCGGCAGCCTAACCCGGGCGAAAGCCAGTGAGGTGAAAGAACTACAACTCCCGCCGGGCTGCACCCGAGCTCAGGGCCTCTGTATATTTTATCACACCCAGCCTCTTCCGCGCAGCTCCCAGTGGCTCCGCCTCAAAGGCGGCCCTCTTCTTTCCTTGTGGAGTCTGAAGCGTGGCCACGCCCCGGTCACCGAAAAAATCCGTGTGACGTCATAAAACCTACGCGTCGCGCGGGGGGCGGGAGTTGGCTGACGGTCCCTGGCTGGCTCTGGAGGTCTTGGGACCGCGGAGGAGGCTCCAGACGGTGCAGCGATGCCTCGCCCACGGCGGGTCAGTCAGCTCCTGGATCTGTGAGTCTACCCTGTCCCGCCTCCCTTTGCACCGCCCCGGCACCTCCTCCAAACTGCCAGGCCCTGCGCTGCTCTTCTTCTCTTCCTCCCCGCCCCTTTCCCACCTCCCCTCCCCGACTTCTGAAGAGGCCCCGCGCGTGTTTCTGTGCCTGGGTTCCCGATCTGTCATTTCCTGGCTGAGGACAATTGTGCAAAGTGGGTCGCTGGGCGGGCTTGCCCCTCCTCCCTATGTCCTGCGCGCTGAGCTATGAGTGTCCATTCTTGTCAGCCTTGACAGCTCGGCGCCCTGGTTGTTCCTGGCAGTGGCCTGTCTCAGCAGCTAAAAGCCTTGGTAGAACACAACACAACACTAGATGAGGCTGTCAAAAGCTTCCAGCAGAATTCCACCTCTGTAACGGGGATAAACATTGAGAGACCCTGGGATAAGCGTGGGAAAGTGGTTAAGATCACGGATCCCTGGCTGAGATTGCTGGGTTCAGCCCCCAGCTCTGCCATTCACCAGCCACGTGACCGTGGACCGGTAACGTAACCTCTCTCTGTGCCTAAGTTCTTTATTTATAAAATTAATGTGATAATAGCACCCATCTCATGGAGTTGTCCTGAGGGATAAATTTAACCCATGTAAAACTCTTATAAGGATGCCCAGCAAATAATAAACACCACTACGTGTTATTGTTATTTCCTACCAGAAATTGTACTGGAAATGGAAGTTACAAAGGCAATTTTCAGTCATGTAAAAAATAGACATCTTAAGGATAAGGAGAACAATCTCCTTAATCTACCGAAGACTTTCTAAAGCAATAGCATCTGATATTTCACATTATATTTCATAAACTCCTGGCCCGCAGTCCACAGCCATTTTTCATAAAACAGGAATCAGTTGGCTGTGATGTAGATGTCTGATCTTGTGTAGATTCAGACTTAGGTAGTCCTGAGAAGATCTTGCTTCAGTTCTTGGCATAAATTGTACATCTGATCTAAATGGGATTTTATTTCCATCACTAAAAGAATGGTTGCTGGCCAGGCGTTTTGGCTCCTGCCTCTAATCCTAGCACTTTGGGAGGCTGAGGTGGGCAGATCATCTGAGGTCAGGAATTAGACAACAACTAGGAGTTCGAGACCAACCTGGCCGACATGGTGAACCCTGTCTCTACTCAAAAATACAAAAATTAGCCAGGCGTGGTGGCAATTGCTTGGAATTCCAGCTACTTGGGAGGCTGAAGTGGGAGAATGGCTTGAACCCTGGAGGTCAAGGCTGCAGTGTACCTTGCAGATTGCACCACTTCAGCCTGAGTGACAGAGTAAGACCTTGTCTCAAAATAGAGATAAATAAAAAATAGAGATAAATAAATAAATAACTATAATATGGCCAGGCATGGTGGCTCACTCCTGTAACCCCAGAAACTTGGGAGGCTGAGGCAGGTGAATCACTTGATGTCAGGAGAGTTGGAGACCAGCCTAGTCAATATGGCAAAACCTGGTCTCTACTAAAAATAGAAAATTAGCTGGGTGTGGTGGTGCATGCCTATAATCCCAGCTACTCAGAAGGCTGAAGCAGGAGAATCGCCTAAACCCAGGAGGCAGAGGTTACAGTGAGCCGAGATTGCACCACTGCACTCCAGCCTGGACAACAGAGCGAGACTGTCTCAAAAAAATAAAATAAATAAATAGCTATAATATATGTAGAATAATATCATAAATGGGAGAGTAACAAACTTTGAAATTTCTAATAAGGAAAAGAATAGGAGAAAGCTTTGTAAAGGGGGTTATTTTTGAAGATTGATAGTATCTGACAGTTGCAAATCAGAGGAAATGCATTCAAGAGAGTGTGAAATAAAAAGAGTAAAGTTTTGACAGGCAGGAAAGTTAGAAATATGAGAGAAGACCAAAAAGTAGCACTCCAATGTGAATGGAAGATACAATATGAATAGCATAGTAGTGAGGCATAAAGCCAAATAATTGGGAGTAGAATCTTAGGGACCAGGATGAAGTAAGAGCATTCCCTCTTTTAGTCATGGGGAGCTATCAAAGGTTTTAGCTATCAAGGTGAGATTTGAATTAGGCAGAAGTTGGAAACAGGGAGATACTTCCTAAGTGTTAGAAAATCCTAACGGGTGGAAAGCCTAAACCAAGAGACATGTGAAGATGTTCTTTGCAGAATTGTTTCTGGTGGCAAGGAGCTGGAATAGGCGAGATACCATGGAATATTATAAAGCTGTTAGAAAAGCAAAGGGTAGGCCAGGCATGGTGGCTCACACCTGTAATCCCAACACTTTGGGAAGCTGAGGAGGCTGGATTGTTTGAGGCCGGGAGTTCGAGACTAGCCTAGGCAACATGGCAAAACCATGCCTTTACCAAAAATAAAACAGCCAGCCTCACAACTTGGTCTCAAAAATAAATAAATGAAAATTAAATAAATTAAAAAATAAAAGAAAGAAAGAAAAGGGTAGATTCACATGGATAGAACTTTAAAACATAGGGCTTAGTGAAAAAAGAACAAACAGACTAACAGTGTTAAGAAAAATTTTTCAGAACTTGCAGGCAAAGCAAAGGGACGACCACATGATCTTCAGTGTCATGCTAGGGTGGCATGGAGCTGGAATAGAGCTGTGGTCCTGTGTAAAGGTCCATATTTGCCCTTAGAAGCAAATTTTGTACCCTTTTGGGACAAGGTACGGTCTGAGGCTGGCAGTTGGTCAGCAAGCTATTTCTAGTTTGTAACAGAGTAAGAAGCTTGAGCCAGACTAGTAATTAACTGTGTCACTAAGCACAACATTTAATCTAGCTGATGAGGCTTTCTCCATGAAGTAAACAGTGCTTGGTTTATGTTCTTCCATAAACTCCTTATCTCCTCACTGACCAGCACTTTGATTAACACTGCCATAGAGAATCCTTTGGATCTGGAATATGAATAGTTTTGAATAGAGAGACCAAGGAAAGAGAAGAATTAGAAGTTATTCTTTTAGTTTTTAGCTTTGTTGACAGGTAGAATGATGATTAGACTATGATGGTGGAAGAAATGTCTTACAGGGAAAATGAATCAGAATATCCAGTAGAAATGTCAAGCAGACAGTTAGAATATAATTTTGAATCTGAAAGAGAGATCAAAGATTAGGCCGTAAGCAGCGGCTCACGCCTATAATCCCAGTACTTTGGGAGACCAAGGCAGGCAAATCAGTGGAGGTCGGAGTTTGAGACCAGCCTGGCCAACATGATGAAACCCTGTCTCTACCAAAAATACACAAAAAATTAGCCAGGTGTGGTGGTGCACGCCTGTATTCCCAGCTACTTGGGAGGCTGAGGCAGGAGACTTGCTTGAACCAGGGAGGCAGAGGCTGCAGTGAACCAAGATGGTGGTACCACACTCCAGCCTGGGTGACAGAGTGAGACTCCATCTCTAAATAAATAAATAAATAAAATGAAAGGTCAAGGATTGAAACTAAGATTGAGGGTAAAACTTTGTAGATGATAGGAAGTTGTGGTTTAGTTTAAAGGAGTGGCTATAGAGAGAAAAAAAAGAAAGTCAAGGACAAAATGTCATGTAACACTTACATTAGAAGCAATCCATGTTGCCAAAACTCTTTTCTTTATTAGATCAATTCACCATATAATGAATTGGCCAAATACTAATAGGTTGTTTCTTTTAACTATAAAATGTAGAGTAACTAATATTGGATGGGATATCTACCCGTCTCCTCGATTGTTTTACAGCTTTTAAAGATTTTAAGTTTTAGCTGACTTATTTTGAGAAATGAGACTGTCCATGCAAACTGTTGGGCCTGAAAATCAACACCACTTATGTCAACATAATTTTTTGCTCTAGGAAATTTTTGCAAATCAGTTTATCTAAATAAACAGCTATCAGGACAAACATTCTGATTTTTTGGGCAAACATGTTTATCTGGACAGATTGCTCATCAAAGCTTATTTTTTGTATCCATCAGTTTTAAACTACTAAGTCACAAACTTTGCCTAATCCTTACCCATTGTCCACCTTGGCGGAGAGAAATACCCACTTAAACTGGTGGAGTTTATATCCCAGAACTTTATGTACACTCTTGCCTAACTTTCCCTTATTGAAACATTACCAAACCCTGTCAAGGTGATCTCCCTTGCCATAGTACATTTAATACATGATTTGATGAATTTAATAAATTTGCTTGACCAGCAGGCTTTCTGGATGGGCTTTGTGGCCACTAAATAATCCTCCCAGAATTTTAAGAGCTATTTGATTTGTTTCTGTCCCAACTCCCTGCTAATTGCAGCTGGAGGGAACTGGAGCAGAAAGAGGAAAGCATTTACTTTGGGAAACACATGGTACAGCCTGTATTGCTGAGCTCACAGAAGAGAATACTAAAGGGCTAAGATGAAAAAGACTGAAAGAAGAGGGTGGTAGTCGGGGGCAGAGAGCCATGTTGTGGGAAAAAGGTAACATATTGAAATATACCTGAAATCCGCATGAAGCAAAATACCATAGTCTCTCCTTATCTGCCATTTTGTTTTGGCAGTTTCAGGCACCTGCATTCAACCGTGGTTAAAAAAATATATGTTCCATGGAAAATTCTAGAAAGAAACAATTCATACATTTTAAATTGTGCACCATTCTGAGTAGCATGATGAAATCTCATGCCATCCTGCCCTGCCTGCCCAGGACATGAATTCTGCCTTCATTCAGCATGTCCATGCTGTCCGTTAAGTAGCTTTCTCTGTTATCAGAGCTATTGTCGTAGGGCTATTGTGTTCACAAAATCCTGATATTACTTAATAATTGCACCAGAGCACAAGAGTAGTAATGCTGGTGTATTGTTACATATATTTTTTATTTTTCCGCCCAATCCCTGTAGATATTGTTATAACTGTTCTATTTTATTATTGTTGTTGTTCATCTCTTACTGTGCCTAATTTATAAATTAAACTTTACTATAGGTATGTATGCATAGTAAATGCAGGGTATATATGGGATTTAGGATTTAGCACTATCCATGATTTCAGGCACCCCC